TTTGTGGTATTACTATTTTAATGAATTTTGTGATCAATAGTGTAGACTTCACCTAATATTTAATATGTGTATTTTATTACCGTTCCCGCAACAGTCGAGTCTACGTAACCGGAACGGACTCGGATTTTTATCCGGCCTCGGACTGTTAACAGAACTTCACCTAATTACATGTAAAAACTTGACCAAATTAGAAAAAAAATCCCCGCCTGGAAAAATTAAATATTACGATTTTTTGTCTAATAATTTATTTTTCTCAAACTCTCATTTTCACTTTTTTCTTGGATGAATAATATAGCTCACAATCAAAATTTTCCTACTGACCGTTTTTTTTTATGCCCAGTACTGTATATAATGGCAGAGAGAAAAAAGCACACTTTTCTTTTGAAATTTTTTGCAAAATCGTGATTTGTTTTGCCCGCTTGAACGTCTATTGTACCAGCTAGTACTTGATTGAATCAAATTCCAATAATTCAACACACATTAATAGGAATTTTTATACATATTTACATAATTATAATTTTTAATAAAATATAGTGACAACAAAAGCTGCGAATATATTTATTTTAATAAAAAGAAGGAAATATGCCATTCGCGGTTTTTTTTTTTAAGTTTACAATCGCGTAAACATTCTTAAATTCTCTTAAGAAATGACCACCGCTCATCGAATACACATACATATGTACATATAGTTTAATTTCAGTATTTTCTGTAAATTATGTTCCTTTGTTTGTATGTATGTATATCAATGATAGAAGAAAGCATCGAAGTCATGCTTGTATGTACATAAATGATCAGCGTCTGTMTGTCTGTATATACGAACTTGTACTTCAGTTTTTGAGATAACGATCTGAAATTTTGCACGCGATCTTTTCGCCCCAAGAAACTGTTATTTTGTCGGAACTGCCGATATCGGACTAATATAGGGTATCGCTGCCGTATAAAATTATCAATTAACATCAAGTGCTTGTTTCGAAACTTTTTTATTTGTGAAGGCTGTTCTACTTTCGATGCAACTGAAGTTAACTTTTTTCTTGTTTTATTTATAAAAAAAAGGATAAAATGTAATTCTGATAACGATTTTTTTTAGTATATATATAAAGTGCCTAAAGACATTCATACATACATATTATTAAAATAAAAAATCACGCGCTGTCTCAATATRCATAATTTTATTTTAAATTGCCAATTCCAATAATTCACCAATAAGATCAAAACAAACGAAAAAGAGAGAGCAGTGCAGCCAACTTCAATGAATCAGTCTCTCGCTATTTTATTGAAAGCGTACGCCGCATTTATATTGAAAAGCGAACAGACAAAATGTGTGGAAATATTTTTCGCATTCTTCGTCTCCACATTTTGCCGCTTTGCTTTCAGGTGTACATATGTATGAATATATAAATGTATATTATTAATATAACTTATAACTTAAATGTCTCGAATGTATAAGCAGAAACAATGTATGAAAGCGGCTTTCGGTCATTACGGATATCCAAAATATTTTAAGCTCGTAGCGGCCATTTGGGGAAATTTTGCAAGATTATATAAACGCACTTTATTCAGCACACATTGATGCAATTAAGCAAATTCATATTTTCACGCAAATACAWATAGCACTGGAGATATACGAGTGCAACGACATCTATTGACAAAATACGAAACCACTTTTTCGACTACCCCGTATATACCAAAAATACCAGCTAAAATCGCAGACAAAAAATACAGTAGGGTATAAAAAAAATATTGTATATGTATGTGTGTTTATGTTAATAATATATACTTTATATGAATTTAAGAAGATTCATATTTAAAGCATATGTCAGTAAAGACAATATCTGATAGCTGAGAGATAACTTGCAATCATATACTTTACATTTGCAACATGTATGCAAAATGTATGTATGTATGTACATAAATATATGATCTTTAGTAAACTGATTGCAATATAAAAATCATGCGAAATAACGAAATAAAGAAAACAGCGTTGCAAAAGTCTAACAAAGCCGTAAGAAAAGAAATGCTGTGGCGCAAGAATCACCAATACGCGAAGCAAATTATCAGCACACCCAACGTAGAATTCTTTATAACACAATTCACCCCATAAGCACTTCCAGCAAAGTTTTATTTATAATATTAACTAGAAATGTCTAATAAAAATCACGTTTTTCTTAATTAACGGTAAGACTGTGTTATGACTCATATTGCATTACTGGCTATAAATCGACTTCTATAATTATTATATTTTATATGTATGTATGTTTGTTTTGATGAAGGAACATAGAATATATGCAAAATGCCATTAAGAAACCTAACTCTAGAGGAAAGAGAGAAACGGTTTTTTTTTACTTTTTAAATTTTCTCTTCAAATGAGCATTCTAAAGCGGAAATATTGCGGGTTTTGCATATATTTTTTCCCAACTTGTATTAGAAAGAATATTTCTTGTTTGCTATTATTATTTTGAACACAGCTGTATGTACACAAATGTGTGCTCATTGACATTTRAGCAACTGAAGCAGTTTCGTTGATTTTGCAATGATTTAAACTTGTTTAAGTGGCATTTAGTAGCGGAATGTAGTCAGCATTATTTTTTATTGCCGAAACGCTTAAATTAAAGTGCAAAGCGAAGAGCAACAACCGGGCCAACCAACCAYTTTGGCCAGAAAGCAAATGAAAAATCTCAGACAAAAAAGCTGAGCTCAATATCATAAGCAATTACCGAAACATAAAAGCGGTGTTGAGCGGCGAAAACCGTGGAATGCGAGAATTTGTCAAAAAAAAGCAACAACTTGACACTGATTTGCGCATTTCTACCTTCTACATTTCACCGTTCATTGCCCACATTTTCTACCTTCTACCAATTTATGGATRCGGGTACCGTCTGTACGTTTGTATAGTATATCATTCTCTCAGCTCGCCTTTGGCATGCACTTCACAAAAAGATGCTGCTAATATTGGGAGCATACAGCGGACGCGTGAGCGGAAATTATGCTGAACAATGAAAAMTCTCTGATTGAAGTCAAAGTGCGAAAAGTGCTAATGAACTGTGCGCTACATCACAGCATCTGATAAAGATGAGGTAATGATTAAAAAAAAACTGCGTACATTTCGCGCTTAAAAAAGCCCCCGTACCTAAGATAGAAGAGTGTTAGGCGGTAAAGCATTTCAAATTGTTTAGAAGAAACTTGCCGATGTTTGTGTTAATGTATTACACATATCCCATGAATGTTTGTATCCAATGAATTTCTAATAGCGAAGCAAAAGCATTGCGATGCGTTGCATTTAAAATGTAATAAAATTAGCATATGCGATCTGCGATTCAGTAAGTGGCGAGCATGGTTCAGTGCAAGAACAAGAGAAGAAGAATTCAATTTATTTTTCATTTAGTTTCACTTTTTTTTCAAATGGCTTTACTCGGCTGATAAATACAGCAACAATGGCGATGGCGTGTCGAGAATGCCAGACATTAACTGCAACACGCTCAYACAATCGCACAATGCGACATTGCCGTTCAATGGGCGATGTGCTTGATGGCGTTGGCGTTGGCGTTGAGGATGGTGCTGTTGCTGACGCGTTGGTGATTGTACCGATGACGATAGTGACATACAAACATACCTATATATATAAGAATACATATGTATGTATACACATTATGCATGTATACAGCAATGTAAATGCAATGTTCATAGAGACCTGAACGAGAGTATTGCCAGCGAGCAGAGCCGTGAGTGTGTGCGCTTTAAAGGCAGTGCGCATAGCAAAATGTCAAGAAAATGCAAGCTGTTTCTGTCCTCTGGTATTCAAAGSCGAAGTTTACTTGGTTGATAAGTAGAATAAACTACGAGAAGGCAATTGAAGCGTATGCTTTGTTTGCAAATATAATTAACAAGCGCAGCAGCGATTCTTTTCTTCAATAATACTTACAGTAGGTGGTATTAAGCACATACTTATGTATCTACGTCTACAAATACAATCTATAGAGATATGCCTAATAATTACGAGACAACGCAGCATGTGCAACAAGATACGAATTAACATTTCAACAATTGTTGAGGGGGATGTGACCGGGAATATGAAAATAAATAGCAGTAATGTTACGCCTCCGTGTGTACAAACATACACCAAAGCTACGAGTATTCGTTACCATCATGCAAACTCTTCAAGGTCCCAATCGAAATTAATAATAACAGACGTCTTCACTTGCACTACCCAACAATGTTCACGCAAATAGTCGATTTCAAACACTAACTTCAAATACACATGTATGTATGTATGTATGTATTTTTACACATTATCCAATCTCTGCATTTATAGTTAACAGCACACATGTCAATGTACAAACTGTTAATGCTGTTAATATGCGAACATCAGTATTTCTATATTTACCAGCACTCAAAGGTAAGTGGAAAGTTTGTGAAATTAATTTTTTTTSATATGAAAACATTGTAATTAATTTATCGGAGCCATCACCGATACATGGGTGATGTTTTTAACCGCACCAAATTGAAAGCATTTCATTATACCGCAATTAACATCAATGAACACTCATAAACTTACATACAGACAAACATGCACATATAAATATTAATAACTTTTSGAAATAATTTACTAAATTTACTACTTTTGATCATTAGCGCATCGTTAAGTATATACAGATGGTTTTTATTTAACATTAGACGCACTTTTGAAATTAGATAATGTTTATTTTCATTAATATTTTGTATAATTAAAACTTACTCTCACGYTGTAAGTTAAAAAGAAAATCTATAGAAAACACGAAATTAAATTTGTTCATTTATCAAATACTWAACTAAATGGCGTCCGGAATACGCCCCTTAAAAATTTATAAAAAAAGAAACAAAAAAAAAAAAGCAGTTGTGCATATGCAAATATGATTTACATTTAAACATAACATCCAGCACTGAAGTATAACTTTCATATTCTCCTAGCAACAGGATAAAGGGAGTGGCAGACTAGTTATCTATACAGAAACATTACAACGTACCTTTTAAGTGTTCAACTGCAGCTTTCGTTTTCAATTACAGCAACAACGTATTTAKGAGTATATGAGCTGCTTTAAACTGACTTTAAACAACACTAATTYAACAGGAAAGCGGCATATAAAGCGGATCTAAACTATAATTTTCTCGAAAATTCGTTTAAGATACATTTTAGGTACACACACACTTGTCGGCACTTGTTAATTAATATAAAGAGTTTACTACCAATAATGTTGAATGATTATACGGTATGTATCTCCCAAGTGTTGGTTAGGCAATTGTGTCAAAAGATTTCAAATACAATAATGATGGTATTAAGTAAAAACGACTTTGTGACGCCGGTGGCAGAATGCACGGCTCCTTGAAGTTGCAGCGGTTCACATATGTTCACACACACACACACACGACGGAAGCGCACTATGGAGCTGGAATCGCGCAGYGTTGGCGACTCAATGACGCGACTTGTTTTTCTGCAAGTTTTGCTTTCAATTTCTTGCTTGTATAAGTTGGCTTTGAATGCACTGCTCTTTGCCGTTTGCTATTTTAGTCGCACTTATTTTGTTGTATTTTTCTATTTTWTTTTTTTTTTTACTTCACACCCCCATCAAACACAAACAACACTTCCCGCTTCTTTTGTATCACTTTTTATACATTGTTTAGCCAGATAATTCACGAAACTACTCTCTTTACAAGGACGTCGAGGGTGGAGCAGTTCACGAATAACGCGCACATAAAGGAATAACGAGTAAAAGGAAAGATGAAGCAAAGGCAAGGGATAAAAATAAAAAGGATGCTGTGTTGGCTTTCGCTTTCTTTTACTTATATATCTGTGAAATTCTACTGGTGGCACCATTAAAAGCACTTCACAATACACTTTAACACATATTTGCAAATATTAAGCAACCATTGTGTTTTACACAAAGAATATTCACTTTAATTTATTGAAATTTTATTTTTTGTCAATTCTACACATCCTTCGCAGATATACATTTTTCCAAACGTACAGAACAYCTCTTAAATCTAGCAAACAACTGTGCAAACGTGCACTCGTATAATCGTACGACCGTTGCTAAAAACCAAATTGAAAATAAAATCCAATCAAATCAATTCACTCAGCGAAATCCACACATCTCTCTTTTCAACGCTCATTTACTCAAAGTTGCAGAGTTGCATTGAATTACATCTATACCCAATTTAAGCATTCCATTTTATTTAAGCGGTGGTTTCCATTTAAATAATGATATCTTTTATGTTTAATATTTATATACATTTATTTAAATTGAGCAAAAAGTTAAATTTTTTGGCAACATTTTAACTCATAATGTTTTAGAACGTTTGTTTAAGAATGTCTCGCATGTTAATAAAAATTATTTTCAACAAGTTGGCCAAGTGATTCAAAGCAACACTAGTAACTGTCAATCGTGATGTTTTATTTATTTTATTATTGTAAGCAAAGTATATTCAATATTGCAAGTATAAAAGTATTTATTAAGTTTTGTACCGAAAATGCCAACCGAAATTGAAAACATAAACCCAAATGTTTATGGCAAACGTAAAGAGCGTGAAGTGACTGCTAATGAGGAAGATGAAAATGTACCAGATCCATTCGATACACGTGAGATATTTGGTATGTACTTGTATACTTTGAATTTGCTCACAGATTTCATTATTTTGCATCAATATTACATTAGACCTTATTCGAAATATCAACGATCCGGAACATCCTCTCACCCTAGAAGAACTACACGTAGTTCAGGAAGACTTAATCGATGTCAACGATGGCAAGAATGAAATAAATGTTAARTTTACGCCAACGATTCCACATTGTTCAATGGCTACACTAATTGGATTGTCCATACGTGTGAAATTGTTACGTTCGCTACCGCCTCGTTTTAAAGTAAATGTTGAGATAACACCTGGAACACATTCTTCCGAAAACGCAGTGAATAAACAACTTGCAGACAAAGAGCGCATTGCAGCGGCACTGGAAAATAAACATCTAGCTGATGTTATCAACCAGTGTATCTCATCGAAAGTTTAAATCGATACATAACTTATTTTCGTTTCGTTTTTGTTATATTTTACAACTTTAAGCGCGTTTTTAATAAAACTAGACAATAACAGCTAACACAACTTTATTTTATGACTTCTTGGCATGTACAGGAGACGCACTCGTACTTGTGTTTCCGCTGGAGGGTTGGGGCTTGGTTGGATCGTATTTGAATGTCTTGACTAACGGACCCTTGCCCGCTTTTGCAAAACGTATCTCATCCAATCGTTGGCGTTCTTCGATTTCTTTGGTTATTTTCATATTTTCCCACGCTAGAAATATGGTCAAGTTAATAAGCAGTTGTTGAAAATTCATGCAAATTTATTTCGTTACTTACATTCTTTCATGCCTTTAACAAAGCCCTTCTTTTTAATGGGAAGATTTTCTGGTTTATGTATTACCATCCTGTCGATTTTGAAGTAATCACGCACTRCCGGTATTCTCAAAATTGCCACCTTAAGAATTAACATATACACAAATAAAGTAATAAATACCTATGGAATTTCATTTATGCTTTACCTGGCCTAAAGAAATAAAATTGCTGCAAGCCCAGTAAGTAAGAATTGCCGCAGGGAAGTTCATGGTGAATGGGAAAATTGCTATCGGTAATGCTCGAAGTATATATTTCATCACTTGCATATTTTGCGCCGATAAACGTGCACTGTCCGTACCAATTTCGATTGTTAAATAGAGCGTAGCACTGGTAATTAATGGCAACAAGAAAAGTGGATCGGCCACTGTCAGGTCTGTAAACCAGAATAAACCTCCTTCACGCATTGACTCCACTGGTGTATTCGCCATTGCGCGGAGACCCATGAAAAACGAAATGAAGAGTGGCGCTTGTGCAAGTGGTACAATCATATTCTTCAATGGGTTAATTTGTTTYTCCTTCATAAATAACATCATTTCTTGCGCGTACCGTGCCGAATCGATGGCATTTCCACTCTGTCGGGCCTCTGTCATCTTCATTTGTAATACTTGCATTTGTGGCATATAATTATTCAATTTCGCTGCATTTCTTTGTGCCATTATCACAAGAGGGAAAATAATTGTACGCACTACCGCGGTACCAATTGCGATAGCTCCCCACCATGGCAAATCACAACCGACATGCAGATATTCCATACAGTTTTGTACAATACCCACTGGCGACCATCCGCCCAACCCAATAGAAGCAAATGTAGGTTCACCTGCAGCATTGAGTACTTGTGTAACGACATCTTCTATGGGTGCGGCCGGTGCTTCGGGAATGGCAGAAAGGTCTACCACCGTTTTAGATGCGTTTGTCGCATCAGCTACGTTGGTTGCTGCATCGGCACTAGCAAAGCGTATACCACCAGGAAGTAAGGTAAGCGCATTTATTGAAGACGGCAATAAAAGTTGTRGTTTAGTTTTATTAGTGCGACTTGSGACATTATAGTTTCTCACTTGTGTGGTGTTGATTGTTGTTGTTGCGGTTTGTGGAGTAAACTAAATAAGAAAATATTTTTTATTTTAACTATAACTTTACACAACACACTTATTTATAGGTTATGTGAAATATGATTGCGGCAGTCTGAATTGTTCTTTAAAACCAACCGTGTTATGAACATTCACCAAATTTGCTGTTCTTGCATAACGCAAATAGTGCACTTTTGTCGATAACATGTTAATTTACGATTTTATTAATTATATTTAACTTTAATATAAAACAACAACGAAATGTTTTAGTTTAAATTCGCCGATTCCGATCAGCTGTTCAAATAGAGAGAGAGAATGAGCTGTTAGTGCTGAGAACGACTGTCATCAAGAGGTATGTTCAGGCGCTGTTGAAGTCAGCTGCCTGTCGTTTCCGCGCTAAACAGTTTCTAAGTACGCTTCCTGTCRTCAGAAATAAATTTTTAATTTGTGTTTCGTTTAAAATAATTTAAATTTTAAAATCTATTTAATATTTCCAAGCACAATCTCGTGAAGTGTTTGTAGTGATTTTGTGTATGTTCGAACTAAATACATATGTATGTATACTTTAATCTTTATTAAAATGAATTTGTTGTTTGGTTTTGAAACTAACTAATTCCTCATATGTAGCTTTGAGCTGAAATTGAATTGAAAACCTTCCGCAGCAGCCACTGGAGGTGCTATATTTTGGACGGGATTTGATCACAGTTCTTCTTGGATATYTCATCATACTTAAGTTTAAGGTAATTGTTCTTCTTATTCCATTAGCACTGCAATTATAAATTTTGCTATAGAAATGACCGATTGAAAGGCACAACTCAAGAGATGTGAGCTATAATCAATATAGTTCCGTTTGTCCGCCTTGTTGATGGATCAAAAGTAGAGCTTATTGAAAAAATACAGTTTTATAATTTAGTTTTCTTATTAATTTCGTTCTCATAACAGAGCAATGTATATAGCCTTGCTTAAACTGGCATGCAGTGAATGAAATCTTTGCACTACAGTGTTAACCATTATTACAAAACCTTCATAGAAACTAGAACAGACTTCGCCAACAAAAAGAGTAATAAATGTATATCCAGACACTTCAATTTATCTTGSGCCAACGAACAAAATCTCTAGTTAATCGTAATAGAAATGATTTATTCAATTCTAGATAAGACCTGCAATTTTTGTTATGATCACAGATCGAGAATGAGTGACAGTGTTGGTAATAGTAATGTAGGTGGGCCGGTGCCGATTTAACCCATATTCAAATGGTGGACCGGTAACTGTTACTTGTACAGAATAAATTAGCATGCTGTTAGCTATGAGCATCAACATAAATACACACTCGCATATGAATGGAAACAAAATCGACGCTTGCAATACTTTTCCTACGCCTAACTGGTCATATCTACGATTTCCATCAAACAAATCGGCAAATCAGTGATGCTCGAAGATTTATGGTTGTGGACTTCTGCAATTTCTAACATAGAAAATAATAAATAAACTATTTGCGGTTATTCAAACATACAAAGATGTGTGTTTGTGCTATGCACCAATGTAAGAGAGTAGAGTTTGCAGATTTATTGCTCAAACTTTGGTGTTTTCGAAGGCTCACGTAAGAGTTATTTTAAAGAAATACAGATTTGTCAGAATTTTCAAATGCACATAGGAACATATACGCATATACACATAGACATACACACATGTTTGTTGTAGGTATGTTTATAAAATCAATTCAATTAAAATAAAATTTTTCATCTATTGACGCTTGTACATACAAACATAATATGAGACTTACGGCGAGTGATTGACTTGCAGCTGATGTCACTATTAAAAAACATGAGGTATGTCAAAGGCTTTTATGGACTTTCCTTTGTGATCTCTATTTCGTTTGAAGCAAAGTGTATTAATAAATTTTCTGCTGAACAAAAAGTAAATTAATGAATTATATGGGAGTCAAATTTGCTCCAACAACAAASAAATGAAAAAAGCCCCAAATCATTCCGCTGCTTGGGGTTATGATTTAGTTGTTACTGCTTGTTCTCAAATTGCCTCTGCGTGCTGTTAAATTCGTGTTGTCCGTTTAATAAGTTTGCCTCGAGCCTGGCAAACCGTCTGGCCAACCGAACGAAAGCAGACATACATACATATCTACATTAAAGTCTAGGTTTAATTGCAATTATAGAAGCATCATTGCTAAAATATATTTATTGTTACAAATAAATTATGGCATAGCAATCGGTCGGATTTTTTTTTATTCAATTAAGTGGTATGATTAAGCGCTGCTACATTAACACTCRAAAATAATGTAATCAAATATAACAAATACCCGTGCAGTCTAGGCAGAGTGCATAACGTTACAACAAAAACAACAACAAAGCATTACTCATGATATTGGCTCATCTGCAGCTTTCCTCATGTAATTTGAGCAGCTAATGAGGTGAGGTCCTTTTATGAGATAACCAAGAACATTACCAGATATGACAAAATAACAGTATACAATCTTTAATTGTTGGGAAATCCAGCGAAATAAAGAAAAAGTTGCTCATTCGGCTGCAAGTTTCCGGCTCCTTGGAGTATCAGACAT